AAGGATTTCTATTGTTGCTAGTTTTCTTTATGTTTTAAGACTTTGTCTAGGTTTTCGATTGTAAAGGGTCGTGACCCTATATTGTTGAAGTTTGTCTAAGATGGCTATGTTGAGACATAGTATTTCCGCTGCTTTATAAATGAGACTTTTTAATAGTTGGTTTTTAAATAAGCTTTTATTCCTCACAATTTTATTACCTATGCAATGAATCAATGCTATGAGGCTTGTAGAGACCCCTTCGGGGTCAAGTACGTCGGTTATGACTACGGGGTACTCTCGAGTCGTGACACTTATCTTGTATCTGTAAAAGCCTTGTACTCTTATTTGGGGTTAGATTATGGATTGCTTGCTGATGTGAGGTCTTGGGATGGTTCCTTGTATTGTATTTCTATTTATTACCACTTATTTTCATTGTTATAAGCTTTTTACTTCTTGTTGTGGCTTCCACATGATAGTTCAATGCTCATGGCTCCAGACTACGGGTTAGGCTTATCTACTAGTGGGGTGTAGCATGTGTCATCATGACTTGAGAAATCGGGTACTGACATTATGTTTCTTATGAAAGCATGATTTTCACCAAATTCTTTGTTTTACGGACACCATCTATGAACCGTTAAAAGACCTACACACTGTAGATAGGAACTGCATAGCAACTTCAGAAGTTAAAGGAACTACACACCGTAAAACCATTTTTGGACCATAGATTGCGTTTGTAGATCAAAGTCCTGAAACCTTATTTTAGTCTATCAATTACGACACTATTTACAGTCCATAGAAGAAACCATAGACTGTAGACGCATTTCATACATGAAAATGTAGAAAACTCAGATTTTTATCGTGACTTTCACTAGGGGCACCTACATCCCATTGACCAAAGAGTGTACCTTTGCCTATTCTAAGGGGTATTTAGGGAAACTAATCATTAAACCCCCCCCCCCTTCTCATGTGTAACTCTTAGAAAACCATATTATTCTCTTTCAAGGTTGCTCTCAAGCAAGAAGCAGAGTTTCATAGCTTCAACCTTCAGTCCAAGAATTCAAGTTAGGGCGTCCATTCCAGGAGTGTGGGATTTCGTCAATGGGTTTCCTATCACCCATTGAGTCCTAAAGAAAACGTAGCTTTATAGTGTATTATTTCTATAGTAGTTAGGGTTTAACCAAAAACATTATTCATGTTTGTTTCATTCCGTCTTCTTGAAGAATAATTTAATTATGTGTTTTCAAACTAACATTTTGTATTTTTAAACAAGACTTTCATGAACCTTTAGAATGTAGCTATTTGCATGTCTAAAAATAGTTATTTCATATGCATGTCTCTAATGAGCAACTTCAAAATTTGAGTTGCTTTCATATGAAGTGTCTATCAGATATTATCAGTATGCATGATCTATTCAGTTATGACTATACTACTCATTATTTATTAGTTATGAATGTTGTCCAGTTTTATCGGGTTCTTACTGTTAAGTTTATCAACCTGTTTTCGTTGGGAGTTTACTTAGTACGGAGGTGTCACGACCCAAAAACTCGAGTCGTGATGACACCTACTATAATCCACAAGTAGGAAGCCAACTCGTTACCTATAATGACAAGTAATGGGCGTACAAGGCATAGAAAACAAATAACAAGTAATAAAATGAAAGACTTAAAGAACACAGGGAAAGATAAGAACAAGAACAAGAACAAATGTATATTGTCATAATACTAGATCCAATCCGAAAACCTGGTAGTCACATGTACAGAAATTCTAAAAGAGAGTACATGTATCTAACACCCCGCTACTAGAAAGAAATTGTTTTTGGAAAGTTTAACAAAGTTAAGTAAAGTATGTGTTTTGGGTCAACCTCAAATGACCATAACTCCTAGATCAGGATGAGTTAGGTGTGCTACAAGATACCGTAGGAAATATGTTTTGATTATCTTTCCAACGCAACTGAGTTTGCTCATTTTCAAGTTTGTATGAGGATGAAATGCCCATTGGAAGTGGGGCTGTCTAGATAAGGAAAGTCAAAACCGAATTTTAAAAGGGTATTTTTGTCTTTTCCATAACCAATTGGTTTAATTCGTTTTTAGTGAATTAATTAGTGTCTAAACTAAATTAGTTCAGTTTACACAATTTCAAAATCATGCTAGGATTTTAGAGAGAAGAACTCAACAGGATAAAGGAGAAGAAAATGTCTAGATTCGTCGATTTCTTGAGGAATTGATTGTGGATTTTGCCAAGGATTAGATCCTACGAGGTATGTGAGTTCACATAGCATTGGATTGGTTCACCCACGCGCCAAACATGATTATTTCAGTGTGATTTTCGTCCTAAAAGAGTGACAATTAGATATTCTTGAGTTGTGTTATTGAATTGCTATGGTTCTTAAATTTGGGATGAAATTGAGGAATTCTTGAGAGTTTAATGTTGATTAGTAGAGTTGTTTTGAGTTAGATTCTTGTGTATATGTATTGGGTATATGAAACTAAGAAGAAATTGAGAAAAGGAATCAAATTTAATCGATTTAAAATCCAAAAATTAGATGTAAAATTCATCAGGTTTGATTGGGGGAAGCTGGTGCAGCGCGCTCCCGTACCGCCTGGAAGGTTGGGGCGGTGCGCCGACAGTGCACCAAGAGAGATTTTAAGCTAGTTTTTGAGTAATAATCTCAAGCCACAAAAAGAGTTATGTTTTTAAACATATGAGTTGAGCATATTTTGGGATAGTATTGAGCGTTGATATGGGGACGAGTTCATAATAACTAAAGTCTCCAGAAACTATGTAGCCATCATGGGTAGAAAGGTTCATACTTTTTAGATGGTTCCTTAATTATTTTTAGCATAGACTAGTGGATCCACTTAGTTGAGGCGTTCCTTATCCCGACAAGTTATAGCATAGTTCTAGCAGCGTGGGCGAGACGCTATGTCATCACATAGCTCATAGTGATGGTTGTCGGTTAGAGAAACTCCCATAGAAGTATATTATCTTTATATATATACACATTGAGTTCTTATTGTATTTTCAATACATTGAGTTGCTATCTACTGTTTGAAATGCTTATTATAAACTACATCTTTATTGTTTTTTATTTCTGCATTTCATTAAGTATCCATGAGTTGAGTAATGCTGAGGTAATTGTTTCTTTCAGAATTAAGTTCAAGCTTAGGTCATGTTTAGTTTTCCCCTCGCATACATTCAATTTACTGATGCCATTTGTCCTGCATCATTTTATGATGCAGATACAGGTAACCAGGATCAACATCCAGTGCCTCGTTGATCCAGTCGAGCACTCAAAGTCAGTTTGTGAGTCTCCTTGCTTTCGGAGGACCTCTTTTTACTGCTTTATAGTTAGTTCATTAGGATGTCATGGTTCTTCTCCCGACGTCCATCTCAGTTGTTAGAGGCTTCATAGACAGTTTGTTATTAGTTCTTCAGTCTTGCATTTCAGTTGTTTTGCTATGAGACTTGAGTTGCCACTTTGGCTAAGTTGAATGTTTATCCTTAAACGTTATAGGTATATGAGACAGTTGTTTTAAAAATGCATTTGATTTTTGTAATAATGCGTGAAGTCTTCCGATGAGAGTTTAGCTAGACCAAGGGTTCGTTTGGGGCAAGCAATGGTTCTCTAGTGCCAATCCCGCCCAGGGTGTAGGCTCGGCACGTGACAATGTGTCAAAATCAAAATACTAGTGAAAGCTAAAATAGAAGGACACTGGCTGATCCAGGCCGTCATAAAGTCACCCCTGCCTTCGAGTATCCTCACTGCATTCTTGATATCAATGTTGGTAACTGGTGCTTGAACCTACATCACAAAAATAGATGAAGAGTGTAGTATGTGTAATATTGGTCGTAATTGAATATCTCAACATGTACCCAATAGGCATGATGGGTTGACCTAGCTTGGGAAATAAAGGCAATAATACAAAGCAAAAATAAATTCAATTAGAGGTCACAAAACGAAATGGTAACGGAAAAATTAACTATGAAACATATGAGTCAAGGAAAGGGCGAACAGTAAAATAAATTGCTTAATAAAACCTAATTGGACCCCATAAGCCCAGATGGTACACTCATGCACAATTAAAAGTAAATAACCCAGTTGTACCTCAAACTCAAATTGATTTATTGTTATTAAAAGGGGTTGAGAAAATACTACCACCATTGATGGACAAAACTTCAAGCTGTAAAGTGGGTCTACGATCTAATCGAAAATTTCAAGCTCAAATCTATTTGTTTGTTGTTGAAAGGAGTTGAGAAAATACTACACCAATCACCATTGATGGACAAAGCTTCAAGCTTTAAAGTGGGTCTACAATAAAATCAAAAATTTAAAGTTCAAATCGATTTGTTATTGTTGAAAGGGATTGAAAATATTCTTGAAATAGATAATGTACAAAACACCCAATAACATAGATTCCTACTAAGCTAAATAAAGATGAAGTTTTCTTTGTTTTTGTTAGCAAGCATAAAGTCTATAGCTTTAAAGAATTCGAAAGACACCAAATTGACAAAACTTGAAGGGATGTTACATGTTGAAACTGGATGGAATGGGGAAGATACAAAGTTTGAAGTGAAAGTGAAGAAGAGAGTAGTTTTAGTGAACAAGTCATCTTCTTTCTTCAAAATGAGTTCTTGATTCCATGGTCATGGTGTGAAGAGGGATGGTTTTTTGATGAAAATGAAGAGTGGATTTTGGCACCACCCATTTTGGTTGTGGGTCGGGTGGATTTTAAATTTTTGGGTAAAAAATAAATAAAATCGGGCAAATCATTTAGATGAAGCCACGTGTCCATTCGTTAACTTCAAAGATATACACAATCCAAAAGAATGACGGTAAGGATATATATGACCTTAAAGTATAACAAAGGGTATTGACATACCATTTATGATAGTTCGGGGGTATATTTGTCCTTTTTCAAGAGATAGCAGTGATTCTCATATATGTGGATGATTTACTCATCACATGTAACAACAATAAGATGATACATGAGTTAAAGGACTCACTTCACAATAGGTTAAAAATGAAAGACCTTGGTAATCTCAAGTATTTTCTGGGCATTGAAATCATGAGGTCCAAAATAGGCATACTTCTCAATCAGAGGAAGTATGCCCTTGAACTTATATCAAACATTGGTCTTAGTGGTGCCAAGCTAGTGAGCACACCATTGGAAGCAAATGTCAAACTTACAACAGTAGAATATGATGAGTTAACTGGGACTACTAATGATTCTTTGTACAAGGATGTTACAGCTTATCAAAGAATAATTGGTAGATTACTATATCTTACCATTACCAGGCCTGATATTAGTTTTGCCGTCCAAGTTTTTTCACAATTCATGCAAAGGCCTAAAATATCACATTGGGAAGCAGCTCTGAGGTTGGTCAGGTACATCAGAAATTGTCCTGGTTAAGGAATACTGTTAAGTAGTAAAAAGAGCTTGGAACTTGAAGCATTTTGTGACTCAGACTGGGCAGCATGCCTAAACACAAGAAGGTTTGTGTCAGGTTACATGGTTAAACTAGGGGATTCACTGATTTCCTGGAAGTCAGAAAAGCAGCACACAGTGAGTAGAAGTTCTGCAGAGGCTGAGTACAGGAGTATGGCTGGTGCAGTAGCAGAATTACTTAGCTGGTTGAGGTGTTAAAAGAATAGAATGTGCAGGTTACAACTCCTATAAGGCTGCATTGTGATAGTAAAGCAACACTATAAATTGCAGCTAATCCCATTTTTCGTGAGAGAACTAAACACATTGAAATAGACTGCCATTTTGTGAGGGAAAGGATCAAAAGTGGACTTAAACAACCTACTTATGTCAATACAAAACAACAGCCAACAGGCATACTAACAAAGGGCCTAGGAGCAACTTCTCATCACATGTTGTTGTCCAAGCTTGGATTCTTCAACATATACTCAGACTAAAGCTTGAGGGGGAATATTGAGAATAAGTAGTTAGTTAGTTAGTTAAGTTTATTTTATGTAACTAACTTTGCCAGTTGTATTAGTTTGTTAGAGAATGCACAATGTGTGACCTTTGTGTGATCTATATAAGGAGCACATTCTCCTTTATTGTAATTCATCAGAAATAAAAAATCTTCTTCTTCTCTTCTTCAACTCATATGTTCCTTCATAACTGCTTCCATGGAAGAGTAGCTTCCATGGCTTCTTTCACAAAAGCCTAAATCTAACAAGTGTCTTTGACTTTCTTTTTCTATTCATAGTTAGTACCCTTTTTTAAATATTAAGAATGTTCAACATTTTTTCCTTGCAAGAATTAGTATTTTGAACTTGCTCAAGATTTTACATTCTATATGGGCGTGACGATTCTTTGTTCTGATCTCAACATACAAGTAAGCAGTAATCCCTATATTTTCACCATGACCTTGACTTATACATAGATAAAATAACGGAAGATCATCTAAAGATTAAACATCATTTTTGATACATTAGAGTATGAGTTCTGAGAGTTTCTTTTCCTTAACCCTAACTTAAATTCAAGAAACTGAAAGACCCAAATATAAAATAAATATAAATTAACACAAAAATACAAAACTCAAACTAAAAAATATCAAAATTAGCTCAAGAAAATACATACACCAAAAAGAAGTTACCTTATTATAGGGGATTCTAAAATTGTTGGAGATTAATATTTAAAATTAGATTCATTTTGGAAAGGGATAATACGTTTTGAACTGATTTGTAGTTAAAGGAGAGAGAAGAGGAAGTGAAGAAATTTGGAGTGAAATGAGAGAGAAGCAGGAGTGAAAAAACAGAGTGGGATTGAGGGATAGTAAATTTCGTTGTATTATATGGTGGTTGAGTATAAAGGGTAAATTTTCTACAAAATACAACATATAATGGCGAATGACAATTTTTTAAAAATATAATTGTCTTCCATAAATAAATATACCACATGTTTGCTATGTTGTGTAGTTTTTCCTATAACATTTAACCCATTTGCAGGCCTTTCCATCTCTTTTCCTATCTATTTCTCTCTTCTTTTCTTTCATTGTATCCCTCTCTCACTCGCTTCTCTCGTATCTTTCTGCCCTCTCTTGCCCCCTTCTCTCTCTCCTTCTCTCGTTTTGTCTCTCTCTTTGTATTGTTTATTTTTACATCTCTATTTCTCTATATTTTATATTTCCACCCTTCTCTTTTTATATTTTTATACTTTTTGAAGTATTAGGTAACTGTATTTATTATATTGATACATGCATTTTGTTGTACCTTATCTCTCCCTTTCTTTCTTTCTATCTCTCACACACTCACTCTTTCACTTTCTCTCTCTCTTTGTCTTTGTATTTGTATTTGTATTTTTTGAGGGATCAGACGATTGTATATGTTGTATTCATAACTGCAGTATGTTTTATTATGTGTCTCCACCTTCTTTCTCTATTTATCAAATGATTGTATATATTGTATTCTTACGTGCATTTAGGTTGTATTCCAAGTTTTCACTTCACTACATTTGATGTATCCATACATGCATTTAGGTTGTGTCAACGAATGCATGACGTATCATGAATACATGTTGTAACGACGAGTACAGTCTACATGTATATAAAGATAAAACAACAAAAAATACATGCAAGAGACTGAATTCATTTGCTCTAATTGCACTTATATTTATTCTCTCTTGTATCACTTATATCAATTCCCACCTTTATCACTTGCATCCACGCATACATTTAGGTTGTATCGACGAATACAATTTGTGTTTATACAAATATACAAATAACCAAAAAATACAAGAGACTGCATTTGTTTCCTTAATTGCCCTTGAATTCATTCGTTCTTGTTTCACATGTATTCATCCTTGTATCACTTATATTCATGTGCGCATTTAGTATCGACGAACACAGTCTGAAATCAGTGGCGTAGCCACATGGTAGTTAGGGTGTCCAATTGGACCTTCGTCGAAAAAAAAAATATCGTATATACAAGTAAAATGATACACGAAATAATCAAGTTATTATAACTCAGTGGTTTCACCTCCTTGAAATGAGGAAGTGCTTGTGTGTTCGAATCTCACTAGTTCTACTTTTTGAAAAGAGCTTTTGTTGTGCTATTTCTGGCCACCCTTTGTGAAATTTAGAACTCCGCCATTGTCTGAAATATACAAATATTGTATTCATTTGCTCTAATTACATTTAGATTCACCCGATCTTGTATTACTTGTATATCATCTTGACTTTGAAAAAATAATTAATATTTTAAAGTCAAGATGATAATCAAATAAGTCCGAAATCAGTGTCAAAATCAAATAGGTCTAAAATGAATTCCTATTGGTACATTTCTGTCAAAATTATACACTTCTATTTTTCTGGTAATCGAAACTTGTATTAGCCAAAACATGCAACTTCACAAATCCAAGTAGAAGCTGACCTTCAGTTAGTGAAAATTACACGATTACAAATTATAATTGAAAATAAAATGAAGAAATAAAAATTTATTCAGGCCGAGGCGTAGATATCTCGATCACTTTAAGGAGATTCAAGCTCACTGCAATAAATAATTTTTATCGGTCTAGCAGTAGTCCTTCTTGACTTGTCTCCTCCAGGATACAATATGTACAACATTCTCACAAAGTATAACTCAATAAACTCTGGACAAGAGCTGAGTCGTCCAAAACTCTTCCAAAAGAACACCTCCCTTCAACTAATGAGAAATCTCTTTTTGATTAACTTTATGAACTCTATAATTTCTTGTGTACAAACCAAATGAAGATCACATGTATTTACAGTAAAGAAAATCTTCCTAGCAATGAATAAGAATATAATGAGGTAATAAATAGTAAAAATAAATGGATAAAGAATAATGAAGGAATAAAGAATGAAATAAAGTGAAGGGCAACAAATTCCCATTGAAGATGCTGGTCAAAACTGTTGACCTGCTAACACCCAATAGGAATGACACTCAACATAATCCCAAAGGCAAAAATTTTATAATATTAAAATGCTACAAAAACTAACACTTTCTATATACTATATCCTGACAGTTCATTAATGCACCCATAATTCAACAGTAAAGTAGAGCTTAAACAAAATACCAGAAACTAAGGACATTTATACATTACAGAATTAGGAGAAAAAAATAAAGTTGGTAAGGTCTGGCATGTAAGAATACTTTTGTCTCTGCTGATGTGCACATGCAAAACAATTTCTATGCATGCTTGAAGATAGCAAAAAAAAAAGTGAGAGAGGAAGGGGGCCTAGAGGAGAGAGACGCGCAAGATTAAGAGAAATTATAGGGTTGCCGTCTAATTCATATTTGTCAAAAATGCAGAAAAATGGGTGGCGATGGGGTACTTCTAAGACAATGGTATAATGTGATTAGTGCTAGCAAAATGAGCTCATATTTTGATAACCTCCAACCCGTTCATAATTTAATTGGTTGAGTGAGTGATTTTTTACATGGATAAAATATGGGTTAATACCCATATTCAACCCATAAAAATATGGGTAAAATATGGGTAAACTATGTGTAAAATTTGGGTAAAGTATGGATTAGTCAAATGGGTTAAGCTTCTAATTTTTATTCACTATAAATTCATGATATCACTAAAAATATTGTAACTTCTCTTGTTTTTTATGTTCTTCTATAGAACTAATTATATCTTCACTATAATTGAAAAAGTGTAACGACTTGTTCTTGTCGTTATAAAAAAGCCAATGGGGGAAAATTTGAGGCCAGAAAACATTTCCGTAGTATTTGGATTTTTCCAACCTAGTCCAGATTTTAACGAAATCGAAGTCCTTAATGTGTAGGGAAAACTGGTAACAATCGAGTGATTTAATTATGATTTTGATTAAATTAGGGGATAGATAACTCGTTAAGGAATCCGTACGACTTTATGGAATTTAATTCGGGTGAGGAGAACTCCCGAAATCGATCTTAGCGCTAAGGGTGTTTTCTGAGCTTCGTTGGTTAGAGTTGTGTTGTGAAATTGGGATTTTAGAATTTTTAAAATAGCTCTCTGTTTCGTTCCAACCACTTTGGAGCTGGATTTTGCCGCTCTGGCGGGGCCGCTACAACGGGGTGAGGGTCGCTGTGGCTGGCTCAACGCGACTTAAGGTCGTTAATAAACCTTAAATGAACTTATTTGGCACTTTTCGATTTTTAGAGCAAAGGAACGAACCCTAGGCAACTCCTATTCATTTTTCATCATTCTTGAGGCTAAAGGTAAGCTTTTCACTCCCCGAATCTATTTTTTGATCCGTATAACATAATAGAATGGGTAAATATTGATAGGGGAGGGTTTTGATATAGATTCTATGGTGGAAACAACCCTAATTTGGATAATTGGAATCATGGATTTGATCTAGGGTTGTTAGTAATTCGGGTAATTAGTGATTGCTTATTGATTTCCGTATTGTATTGATTGTTTGTAGACCAAGAACAAGCGGAACGAATCCGGAAAGGGAAGGATCAAGTTTCTTAGGGTTTCAATCTTGTTTCGAGGTAGGTGATGGTTGTGATTCTATGATTGTGTGATGTATGCTTGTTCTTACTTCATTATGATACGTGTATGTATATGATTATTGCATTATTGATCACAATTGTTGTAAATGAGATAGATGAATGATGATTTCCATGAAATCATGACTTAAATGTATGATCTTGAAAATATACGTGTGATTGTGATTG